ATAAAAATAAGAAAGGGATTGGAGATGGCGGCACACGCCTTTAATCCCGGCACTCGGGAGGAAGAGGCAGGAGGATGGATCTCTGTGAGTTGAAGACCAGCCTGATCCCAGACTGAGTTCCAGGACAACCAAGACTACACAGAGAAACCCTATCTTCAAAACAAAACAAAACAGCAAAACCCAGAATATAGTGAATCCCATTATTTCATGCAAGTGATAAATATATGCAAATGAAAAAGAAAAAGCCCAAACTAGGCTTGGACAAAGTTCCCTGCACCAGAGGTCCCTGTGGTGGCTCCTTCAAAGGAATTCCCTGCCGTCCTGAGGAGAGGGGAGGGGAAAAGGGAGTGTCCCCACTGACTCTGGTGTCTCAAGCCCCAAGATGTTCTAGGCCCTCCCACTTCACCTATGTGTATTCAGAGTCTCTGTGTCCTCCCCACCTCCCAGTTTTGAAGAGGCCTGTGAAGATGGAGAACATCCCCATCCTCCTGCTGGCACAACCACAAGGTAGGGGCACCAACATGAGGCTCTGCCCCTCTCTCTACACCTGTCTGTGGAGGTGAAGGAGAACCAATCCTTCAAGGGTTCAACAGGGGCAAGAAACTCAAACTGACATCACCCCCACCACACACACAAATACCCATGTATCCCATAGCTCTGGGATAGTTCCGAGAAGAAGACTGACACTACACTAAGCCCCTAAGCTGACTCACCCAGTCTCAACAAGAAGCCAGGCTGTGTTGGCCCTAACTATCATGGAGCCCCAAGCCTCCTCCATAACATGGACCCTTGAACAGGGACTGAGGAGTCTGCAGAGACTGGGTTCAGAAGATGACTCCCCACCTTGTCCTTGTCCTCTGCAGAGCTGGGGGCCTGGCTCAGATGACCTTGGCTGACACAGGACAGTTTGTGTAACAGGCCTGTTTTCAATTTGCCCCCTAGCAAGTCGCGTGGCTCTAAGAGACCCTGTGGAGAGGACAAACATTCTGAAGGCAGATAATATAATAGGGTTGGGCCTTTCTTTCCAGCTGGAACCTGGGGATGATGCCAGGCTCCTACATCCACCAGGGAGCAGGGCCAGAATTCAGAGCTAATGGGAGACAGAGCAAATGGGGAGGGGGGAGCAAAATTTTCTGAAAAGAAAATTTCTATCCTTTGATCTTTAATTTCAGCAGGGGGGGGGCAAGAAGAATGGGTATGACTTAAGAATCATTGCGGTTAGCTGACACAAAGAACTAACAGCAAAGACAGATGAGAACCAAGGCCCTACTGCCCTCACAACATTCCTTTTAGCTCCAGATTCACTCTTGTATAGTCTCTGGCTCTTCAGAGGGTATCCCCCTGCTTCCCAGCCCAGTCTGGGTTTCTCTCCAGTCCAGAAAAGGAAGGCATGTTGGTCCTTAGGCGCTGGAGCTGTTTCCACTCTCTGGAGTGGTTAACTCCATCTCTCCTCAGATGTCACTCCTTTCCTATACCTTCTAGACCGGTCCCAACATGGAGGGCAGCAGAAATTGGGCAGGGAAAGGCCGAAGGGCCGTCTGGGTGGATTCTGAGTTCCCACCCTTGGCTAACAGCCCAGCTGCGCTGGGTGCAGCTGGTCCCTGACTAGGAGGGACTTTTAGAAATGGGGATTGGCGTTTCACACGAGGGCATTTGTTGAAATCTAAGAAAGTGGTAATTGTCCAGAGCGATTTTAGGGCTTTGGAGCCGCTTGCTGTAGGAAAATATTTGTCTCACAGGTGGGGGTGGGGTGGGGAGAAGGAGTGGAAAGTGCAAGAGGGGGAGGGTCCCGGAGCTAGAGCGGTGGACCACCTGGTGGGCGGAGCCAAGTGTAGGGGGTGATGGACCTGTCGTGGGGATTGGGTTACTGTTAGGGTAAGTGGAAAGAGCTTGGAATGTCTCCTAGGGCTCCCTGCCTGGATACCGGATTCTCAGAGTTGAGCCAGGTGCCCTTCTGGTCAGCAGGTCCAGGCGGCCTCCCTGGTCCAGGCGCCGAGGCTAGCCAACCCCCCACCCCCAGACCACACCTCATGCTTCTGGTTTCTACTTGATTCACAGGCTCTGAGTCACCAATGAAGCTGGCACTGGTGGGCGCCCAGCCTCCGAAAGTAGAATTTAAGAGTCCAGGACCTGGTGCCCCAGGACCCAGGGTATCCGGCACGCCCCTTTTCTGGGATGCAGACTCCCAGGCGCCCACCCACTGATTCGGTCTCCTTTTCTTTATGGCCTTCGCTTCCTTGGCTCCAAGGACTCCAGAGCCCTTCTTGCCCTCTCCCCAGAGCTCGAAAACCTTACCCAGAGCTTTGAGCAATTCCTCAAAGTTTTCTGATCGGATGATTTTCCAGTTGCCAGAAAAGTTAGGCATGGTGGCAATGAAGTGGCTTTCTCTTTAGATCCTCAGCTGGAGCACTGGACGCTGAGTCTTCTAGCCCAAGATACTTCGCTGCCCCCTTTGAGGAATTAATCCTTCCACATGGGGTCCGAGCCGCGTGGAGGACAATTGCAAAGCTGCTGGGCGCCAGCGCTCCAGGCTTTTATACCCAGCTGGTGCATGAGGCGGCCCCGCCCCCGCCCCGCCTTCCACTCCACCTGGGGGCCCTGCTCTGTGGCCACCTCACCCCAATCCTTTCCGGAATCCCGCCTGTTTCTAGAACTGTGGGTGGGTCTACGGTTCTCTAAGGGCCAAGATACCCTTCTCCCGCATCAGTAGGCGGACGGGGAAGCGTCAGAAGACAAGCACAGGGTTTGTGCCTCTGGCAAGAACAGGGCACGCCTCGCCTGGTCATGGATGCTCCGATCTCACGGTCTGCAGGGCGAACGAAGGTCCTTTTTCACCAGTTCCTACTAGCCCTCTACGAGGTGCTCTGGACAGCTCGGCGCCAGACATCTGGAGACCCCACCAGAGCAGTAACTGGGGCCTTGCAACTGGCAGTCGAACTCGGACTTCACTGGAGCCTGAGCTAAATCCAATGAGACAGTGTTCTTTTGGGTGACTGAGAGGTACCGCTCTGTCCTCCACCCCCTGACTCAGCTCTGGGTTCGAGTAGTGCACACTCACACTCGAGGCAACTCATTCATTCCTCCCCAAGCACTGGATGGACAACGAAGGGTTAAAAGCTGGAGTCCCGGGCGCAAGGCTAGGAGGGCAGAGGTCACAGCCAATCACTTGACACGACTCCTTTATTAAGGAGCTTTCTCTGTTGCTCGGCTTCCCGGGCCATGAGGAGGCGGAGGCGGGCCCCCCACCCCCGGCCCCCGAGCCCCCTGTGCGCTGCTATGCTACTGGGATTGGGGGAAAGGCTGGCTGCGCGGGGAGGGGGTGGGTCTGGGTGTAAGATGTCCATATCCTGAGCTGAAAATGCGGCGGACCTGGCACCTACGAGGATTTATTTATTTTTATTTTATTTTTTAGTGGGTGAAACATTAGTGTAAAAGGGACCAGGAGCAGAAAGAACAGGCAGGGCCTGGAGGCACGCGGGTAACCAGAGGCCAGAAACAACGCCGCTAGGTGATGGAGCGGGAAGCGCTCACCCTTGGCGTCCACCACCAGCCTCCTGGGATCCTCTCTGAATCCCCCACAGGATCTCAAACAAGGTCCCCTACCTGACCCCTCCTTGTCTGCGTGGCCAAAATTGGAGCCGGCAGCTCTGACCCGGTGAACCGAGAACTGACAGTCTTTGGTGGGAATCGAACTGAGCCGTGGAATTAACCTCAACGCCAAGCCAGACAGTGTCATGCGAGTCAGGCCTAGGTCGAGGATGAAGGAGGGAGGCTGCCTCTCAGAAGGGCTTCTGAACCGCCCCCACCTCCACCCCTGCCAGCCCCGCACAGCCACCACCACCCAGAAGGGAGAGGTTCCAGATTTTAAAAAGGGGAGCTCTTTGGGAGTGGAGGGAATTTAGGGGCCATAGGAAGAAAGAGGACACCAGGGAGGGCATTTTCACCGCAAACAGCTGCAGAGGTGGGGAGAAAGGGAAACCCTGGGTAACATTCTGGAGCGCCCCCCCCCCACTACGCCCCCAGCGCCGCCTTACTGTAGGTACAATGAGGGGTTTTAGGTTGACAGTGAAATCCAGCTTCTAATCCAGCTTCCCTTCTGCGGGAAGGCAGAGATCCAGCTTCCCTTCTGCGGGAAGGCAGAGATCAGGCGCCTGCTGCCCAGTCCTCCAGTGTCCCTACCTCTTCTACGGGTTATTGTGTCCATCTCCACATCTCCAGACTCCTGGAGCCCAGAGGCAGGAAAGCTCACTCTTACTCGGATGGCTTTCTCCCTCGTGTAAGAGAAAAAAAGGCAGGGCATGCCCTCACTCTTCCCAGGAGCTTTGACCTTAGAGTCATCGGGATGAAGATACCTAGACTAGGAAGGAGGCCTGGGATGGTAGTTTGGAGGAGAATCCCAGAGGCTAGAGCCTGGGAGGAGGTTCCCCCTGATGGAAGTGGGAGCCATGGGCCCACTCCCTACTCTTCATCCCCACCACCCCCTCCTCTAGCAACTGGCTACGATTTTCAGAAACATAAGACAAAGGGAAGTGGGACTGGGCGGGGAATTTCTTCCAGATGTGTTTGTGGTTTGGCTGCTCAGGGCCAGAGCTCCAAGCACCCCAACTTGAGAGTGAGGGTGGGGGCAATATGCTGACTGGCTAGGGCTGGGGGTTTCAGCCTGCTGGAGGCAGGGGAATAGCAGGGGTGCTGAGATGAGCAGCTGGGAAAAGGAGACACTGAGGGATGAGGGGGCCTGGAGGCACTAGGGGGAGGGCTTACGGAGATGGATATGGATGGGGGATGCAACCGACAAGGGGCAGGGGCTAGGGCCCCAGAGCTGTGTGATGGGAGGAGCTGCAGCCAATAAGAGTTCCATGCCCAACCACTGGCTTTAATTTCCCACTGGGATCAATAAGGAAAGGAATTTCCCGGTGCCTCTGGCCTTTCAATTATAATCAAATCTGCTGCAGCTCTGCCCCAAGTGACCCCATTCCCATGATCACACCCCTCGTGGGGCTCCCTCTCCCGCCAGAAGTTTGAGACACAATAGGGAAGCAGAGGCAAGCAGAGGGTGGAATGAGGAAGAAACAGACAAGCTCAGGAGAGTAAAAGAATATTCTGGTGCTTTGTTCCATTGTGTGGCTAGGAGGAAGGCTGAGAGCAGAGGAACAGAGATGGGCTGAGATGGCAGGAAGGAACAAGTGTGGGTAGACTGGGTGTGCTGGAGGGCTGCAGTATGGGACTTGGAATAGAAGGCATTCCTGCCCTCTACATCCCTTCCCCTGAGGCTGTGTAGGAGATAAAGAACCACCCAGTCCATCATGGAAAAGGCCAGGGTCCAACAGGTGATAGGTGGAGTAGGAAAGTCACAAAATCCCCACACTCACCCTCAACCAGAACTAGAGATTCTCTGCCAAGGTCAGAACTGGTGGTGGATGTCGCTCAGGCCAGTGCCTCTGGTGGGAAAGTCAGCCAGGCTGGTCTGGGCACTTGCAGGGGGTGATGGGGCCGTTTAGTTAGTCTTGTGTCTCCTGAGCCCTTGTATCCTCAGGGCTCCACTGCACAGAGAGCTTAGATCAAGCATCCTCCCTCCCATTAGGCTCCTCCATGAAAAAAGGATTCTTGTGCTTTCTCCTGTCTCCCTGGCTTAAACCAGCCTTTGTCACTGTGGCAGAATGGAGGGCAATAGAGCCCCAAAGTGGAAACACAGGGTCAGGGACCTAGAAAGGAAGCAACTCACCTCCCAAAAATTTTGGGTGCAGGAGGGAACTCCCTGAGAATTAGGAAAGGAGGATAGAGGACCGGGAGGAACCTGAGGTTAAGGGGAGATTCCACCCAAAGGCAGAGGATGCAATGGCATGCAGGGCAGACCTTTTGCCAGGTCTGGCAAAAGGAGGCAAGTAGGGCCAGCAGGACAGCACAGGAGCCTGAGAGGAAACAACCGGAAGGGCTGAAGCAGGAGGAGCTACCCCAAGTCAGAAGAGGGTCTGTACAGCACCCAGGCGGGGCCTCTGTTGTTCTTGGCTCTGCCATGCTTTTCCCAGCTCCAGCTGCCAACGCTCTCCTGCTCTCCTCAGGGCTGGGCTGGGTTGGGCTGGCTGAGCCAGGAAGACAGGAGGGTGGGGTAGGGATGCACTGGCTGAGGACGTGTCCAGACTGAGTCTCAGTCCCCTGCATGGAGACTGACCTGCAGTTACACTTGGGTTGGCTCTAAGGTCTGGTTCCTAGTATTGTATCCATCTGCCATTAACACTGTCTTGCACTCAGCCCTAGGAGCCAGGAGAAGAGGGATGGGACTGTAGCCATGGGCAAGCCCTACAGTTTTTATGACACCTGGGGAAAGTGGCCTGTTCTGAAAAGGACACACAGCTCTGGATGGCCCAGCCCCCTCCAACTCTGCCACTTTGCCCAAGGCACTGGGTCTGGAGAATCCCAATTCAGTCACTTCCCTGGTGCTGCCTTTCCTGCCCTCTGAGGTAGGAAAGAGAAAAAGAGCTGGAATCTGGGACCCTCCTCTGATTTCCCATACCTTTCAGATTATCTGGTGCCTGGAGGAAGAAGGGACAGAGGCAAACAGCCCAGATACTGGGCCTCTCCCCCTACCGTTGACATCTTGAATCAGCAGAGATAAGCAGGGTTACAAGACTTTAGTCTGGGCATGGAGATGATTCAGTGGTTAAGAGCACTTGTGCTGCTCTCCCGGAGGGTTTAATTCCTAGCACATATATGGTGGCTCAGTCTTTTTCTAATTCTAGCTCCAGTGGATTTTTTTTTTAACTTTATGTGCACTGGTGTAAAGGTGTCAGATACCCCGGAACTGGAGTTAGACAGTTGTGAGTTGCCATGTGAATGCTGGGTATTGAACCTGGTTCCTCTGGAAGAGCAGCCAGTGCTTTTAACCACTGAGTCATCTCTCCAGCCCCAGTTCCAGTGGATCTGTTGCCCTCTTCTGGCCTTTCTTGGTAGCAGGCATGCATGCAGTGCACAATATACATGCAGTCTAGCACATACACATAAATTGAGTAACAATAAAGCTTCAAATTATCAGAATCTGGTTCCTTAGCCAAGCCAAGGCCTTGCTCTCCATCTCCACTCCTATCTCTTCTAAGAGCAAAGCCAGGTAGCTGGTAAGTGGGCGGGGGTAGGGGGAGGAGAGGAGGCCCCCCACAATGACCTAGATCTAGTAGTTTGTTCTGGGCAGTGTGAACAAAATGGGCAAAAGATGTATGAAGTGGTTAAGTTCTGTTTTTCTTCCCTGTGGGTACCAGCTTTGGAAAATGTCAGCTAGCAAAGAAAAACTATACTACCCCAAACTCCTACTTCATCTGGTCTGTCAGGGCCCCAGGCTGTCTCACTCCCAAAGGGCACTGACCTGAGGCCTATGAATTTGTTAGTCTAGCAGAGCATGTATGCTGTCCTAATGATGCCCCCAACTTTCTACTGCCTGCCACTCTGCTACTAACTTGGGCCAAGTCATCTAGCCAAGTCATCTAAGTGGGAGCTTTGGAACCTGGAGAT